ATCGTTGGCTCCTTGGGTTGTGGCCTCGTACTCAGGCGCTTGTGTCTTTCAAGCAGTGGAAAGGTCGGGCGTAGTTCTTTAAGGGCATCAGCCACGTGTCGACTTAACTACCTTTTTCTGTACTGAGCTTCAAGAAACTGATTTCTTCTCTGTCTCCCCAGTTTCCATTCATTTTTGTGAGGAGGGGGCCTTCTAAACAAGCCAGTTATAAAGCTCACAGTAAAAATTTAATTCACAGACCCTGTAAACAGCTAGATGACACAATTTTATGTGGCTTTAGGTTTATTGTGTGACCCAGTGGGGCAGTAATATGCTTATGATATGCAGACTCGAGACTTCAGTAAGAAAACTCTTTTTTAAAATAGTTCTAATGCACATATCTCTGGAATATTTTCTCCAAATTTGTCTCTATGTATTTCCCCTGAATTTTATGAAAGTTTTCTTGCTGTGTACATGACCCAAAGAATACCGTTTCCAGTAAATACGGTTACCGTGGAGCAATATGTATTTTGATAGTCAAGGTGATAATTTTTAATTGATGAAAATTTTATTCTCTTAGAAAATTAATATTTGGTCTGTGTGGCTAGAAATGTGCTAATTTGGTAATTCTTATATAACAATGATGCCATAAACCTTCTGAAGCATTATTTCTGACATTTTATTAGGTGTTGTAAGTAGTGTAACAAATTTTCTCATGTGCTTTCTACATCTGCAGCAGTAGTCAGACGCGGTGCATAAAAATATACATTTCATAGTTCATGGACTAGTTCATTTGTTACATCAGCAGATGCTGGCGTCATCGGCGACTCGGCATTTAAGTGGGCGGATGCTGCATAGCTCGAGGGTTATGCGATTAATTAAGTCCATCAAAGGTTGGTCTCCCTTTAGAAATGAAGAATTGAAGAGGAAGTCATCTTTAGAAAAGCTTAATTTTGTCTGGTCCTTGTAAAAATCTCCACACGTGCCAGCTTTTTACCACCACCTTGCTTAAATAAGATGGCCTCGCAGGGTCTCCCTAGCGGCTGGATGGCAGGAGTCTGTGCTGAGACCGTCACAAGTCGTGCCATCGCACCTGGGTGACAAAGCAGTCATTCACCTGGCTATGAACTAATAATAGCTTCTTACTTCAAGTGTGCTCTTTCCTTCGGGCCAATATCTTGATGGTCTGGCTTTGGTTTGGTTATTCTAGAACTGCTGTCCCAAGTTCTTTCATCTCTAGCTACTAAGTCATAGCCACAAGTTGTTTTGTCCTGGATTTGGAAAGAGGACGCAGGAGTTAGGGGGGGCTCTGATACGTTCGGAACACTAGAGCAACTCTATGTTCCAATCTGGATGCTCTAGAAACAAAATCGATTTTTAATAATAATGTCTGCTTATTGTAGAAAATTAATACATGAAAGAAAGGCATGAAGGAGAAAGCAAAAGCTCTGTCGGATATTCTCCACGTGACTGTGAAAACCCTCCTCACGGTTTTGTAGAGTATTTTCTTAGACCCCGTTCTATGGGAATACGTGTGTGTGGCGGAAGTGGTCCTCTACATGTGATGTTTTGCATTCTGCTTTTGACACTCAAACTATGTCATGGAAGATTTTTCACATCAAAGAGAATAAATATATAATATCCACTATAATTTAGTTAACCAGCTTTACATCTGTTAGTGTGCATTTAGGAGTTTTCCTTTTTACAGAACATTGTGTAGAAATTTGTTGGACATATTTCTGTAAGGGAACTGGTTGGTCCAAGGGTGTGCGCATTTGTCGCTTGGCCCCCAGGACCACAGAACGTGTACTGACGCTCCTGAGTACAGGATGTGAGAGCGTCTGCCCCAACCCTTTAGCCCACACTGACAGTATCCATTTTCTTCACTCTTGCTAACCTGAGCCCACAGGCGGTATTTTGTTTTGAATGTTTCATTCTTTCATTGTCTTCATGACTCTAAACAGTAATACCATATATGATCTCACATCTGCACGTTTGATACCGTATAACCCAGAATCGGAATAGTCAGCTGCCTGCGAGCATCTTTTGTACTCGTGGGAACTCCCCTGAAATCGAACCCCTTTGCGTTTCAGCCACACTTGTGTGTCGCCTGTTCTTTATGGGCTGGTTCCGGCTCATGTTACAGTCTTCCCCCTTTCTATGCCTCGTGCTTCATATCTAAGTCCCTCCGAAAACCTGTTCACTTTCATACTATGACCCGGGAGCTGACGGCTTTCTGCATCTGCAGCTTCCTCCTGGGCTTGGCCTTAATCGTCTCTTGCTTGGCTGGTTGCTGCCATTCCCTGGTTCCCCCCTTTTCTTGCCCCCCTGCGTCCTGTTCTCTGCACAGCCACCTTAGCGCTCTGTTAAATGCCAGGGGACTCATGGCAGTCATCCGCTCCAGGGCTTTAGAGATTTGACAGGTCTCAGTAAGAGAGAGTCCCTGCAGAGGCTGCAGGCCCCATGTGGTTTGTTCCTCCACCCCTTACTTCTCCCGTGTCTCTGACCTCCGCTCTCCACTTCTGCATCCCTTCCCCTGGGCCCTCTGGCCTCCATCCTGCCTAGGTCACCTAGAGAGACACACCCAGCTCCCTCACTTCTCTCTCTGTTCTCTCAAATTTCACCTTCTCAGCAGCAA